GCTTTCAACGCAGTTTATCAGTTCCAAGGTAAATATCGGCAAGTATTCAGCCCTTCAGAAGATTTTTGCGCCCTTCTTTTCCGCTATTTCTCTCTCCCTCCGGAAATTTCAGCACTCTTTTTTCCTAATTCAGCTTTTGCTTCTCACCTTTCTTTCATCCTATCCTTGGTGAAAAGAATGGCACGTTTGTGTATGAAGTTTTGTAAAATCACAGAATGAAGGACTATCCAAATGACTGCTTTTTATGCGTTTTTGAATATATGCAAAAGCACACATTGTGATGAACCCGATGTGTGTGTGCGTCTGCCCAGGTATTTCAACTCGGCACCCAAGCAAGCTCCGGCGTCAAAATTTTGCGGGTGGGTCTCCTGGCCAAGTGTCACCCCAGGACCGCGGTACCAATCCTCAAGCACGTCTAGGCCCCGCGTACGAGCGCCTGAAAGTTTTGGTGAGAAAATCGGCAACTCGAGAAACAGAAAAGCTAGAAAGCTGAAATTTTGGGATTATGTTTTTAGTACAAGTAGAACTCAGAGATTTCAAATTCCGCCCCCGGGGATTCGTGATTCCTGCGTACGGCCCCGTGAGGGTTCCTGGCGCGAAAATCGCTAGCCCGGGAAAGCTGGGAGGCTGAAACTTTCAGGAAATGTTCCCAATTCATCTACAACTTGAATTTATCAAATTCAGCCCTCTCTCCAATAGGCGTGATTGCACGTACGGCCCTGTCAAATTTTCTGGCTGGAATTTGGGTAACTCGGAAACTGAGAAAGCTGGGAACCTGGGATTTCAAGGGAATGGTTCCTGTTCAAGTAGGGCGTGGATAATTAACTTCCCAAAATTCGAGGACCAGTATGTACAAGAGGTTTCTAGCTAGCGGAGTTTCGAGTGATCTTATTGCAGCATGAAACACGGCAAAAACGCATGATCGCACGCGCCCGCCCAGTGCGCGTCGCCAATGATTTGTGTACTGCTCACCAGATTCGATCAGTTGTTTTTTGGCGTCTAATACAAAAACAGCAACGGTACGACCCCATCCAGTCAAGCATGAATTTGCCGTTTGCAGCTGACTTTCTACTACATTATACAATCTGCAAAAATAATGATGCCTCAGTGTTTAGTTATTTCATTAAATAATCGAGCAAGATTTTACTAGTATTACCAATTACAAAGACCAATTGGATCAGAAAACAAGAGCAGCTGTACTAGTTTTGTAGTATTCAAAAGAAAAGCAAGAGTGCAATAATATCACTGACATCGAATTCTCGTACCTTCTCAGTGGCCTTGGCATGCATCAACAACAAATTTAGTATCTAATTCCAAGTAAATTGTTAAATGAAAAATAATTACGAATAAAATCCCATTCTAACTCAAACAAGTTAAAAAATAAATAGCAACGCGAACCAGACTAGCCGGTGCGATCATGCGTTTTGTGCAATTCAGCCCATCGAACGAT